ATTGATTTTTGATGGCTGTTTATAGGTTTTCGTTTTTTTTTTTTTAATGATCTTTTGTTGTTTTCATATAAAATTCAACAAAAAGCGGTTTTCGGTTAACTGGAATTTTTTTTTTTACTGTCTTAGTATATTTAGTTGTGATGGTAGTAGTCATATAACAATAAATATAAAGAATAACCTATTTCGCTTTTTTTTTTTTTTTTTTTTTTTTTTTAAGTGTTGCATGTTGGGCTTATTCGAATCCTTTTTCGATGGTCTTTTTTTCGACCTGAAAAAAGTTTTACGTAGCGACCTCGAAAAAACTAAAAATGGCTCCTGTATCAAGGTTGACGTGGACAGAATCGATTTTTTTGAACAAACTTATGCGTTCGTTCCAGAAGAAGGTTTTGCTGTATGCAACCGATATTCTATTTCTTACCATTTGGACACTAGAAACTTTTGCCCTTTTCTCCCTTATTTTCAACTTTTTTCAAAATTTTTTTTGTTCAACATATGCCTTAATTTTTTTAGCATTTCCCCGTTCCCCTGAGCCGACATGCTACCTCTTACCGCTTACGAACTATGACGTTTTTTCGTTATTACTACTAAACGGTAGCAAAAAATATTTATTTTGCTAAGTGGACCTATAGACTGTTCACTCAGAAATATTTTGGTACAAAAATATATTTTTTAAGTTTTACCGTTTGGGCGCCACAAACTTTTGCCCTTTTCACAGTCATGTCAAAAGTTAGCGAAAAACCGTCGACGGCTGTCGATATTATTTGTTTTTGTCAATCTTTTTTGCTCTATACACGAACCTCCTATCTCTTACCATTTTCGAGTAACAAAAATTTTTTCTATTTAAACGGTAGATACACCTATGAGTCATAATCATTTTTACACACGATTAGATAGTACTTCATGAATATGCATTTGATTTTGTGGAAAAACAAACTTTTCAAAATTTGGATTTTTTTTTTGAGATTTTTTTTGTTTTAATTTTTCTTTGGATTCTTTGAATTTTTTAAATTTTTTTTTTCACCAAAACTTCTAATTTACTTTCCTACTGCTCAAGGAAAACTTTTTTTCGAATTTTGACAACCTTTTTTGACAAAAATTGTTGCGCCCCAAACTCAAATTTTCACATATTTAATTACATGGACCTATTGATTATTCATCCAAAAATATTTTGACACAAAAAACAAATTTTTAACTAATTCCGTTTGGTCACCACAAACTTTTGCCCTTTTCTCCGAAATGCTAAACTCAAACTAAAAACCGTCGACACAGGTGCATGTGTTTCGTATTTTAGGAACTTTTTTGTTCTTTGCACGAACCTCGTATCTCTTACCGTCTTCGAGTAAAACATTTTTTTTTTATATTTAAACAATTATTGCACCTCCAACCCACATTTATTTTTACACAAATGTGTCATTAGTTTATAGGGATGCATTTTTATTTTTTTAACAAACTTTCTGCCCTTTGGCACCCTCAAGCGATAATTCTTTTTTTTTAATATTTCCGAATACGTCCCTGTCTATTGAAGATAAGAGCGTCCAGTTCCGTAAGAATTTGCTGAAACAGCATCGCGTTATTTCATTCTGTGTTGTAATAATGACGGGCGGCGTGTTTCGGTTTATGAATTTTACCGTGAAAAGATTTGGGAAAAAGGTGGTTTTGTTGAACTAAATGGTGGCTTCTGTGAAGTGTGCGTGTATTTGAATGTTTTCGAGGGAGAACGGATGATTTTATTGCCTGTTTTCAATGTCGTAAGTAACAATTTTTTTAATTTTTAACAACACACTCGCCTTCTGACATTTGAGATTTTATTCTAATAATCACTGACAAATAAGCTTAAATCGGCAGAAAGTTGCTGATGAACATTTATTTATTAAGAAAATAACAGGAGTTTTGTCGGAGCAAACACGGCTTTTATTCGTTGCTGTTATTCCCAATTAAATAATTTTAGATGAGACTGGGGAAAATAATACACCAAACGAAATAAACAATATTTATTATAATTTCAATTACAGCTTAAGATTATACAAACTAGTTCGTATTTTATACATTTTAAGAAACTAATAAGTTTTAAATTTAAATCTAATTTACGACGCAGTGGTTTAACCGCAATGTGCACAGTTATTTAACTGATTTTCTTTGCTGAATAATTTTCAATTCTGAATCCAATTTTTCGATTGTTTCTCTAAATTTTCGCTTCTTCTCCATCATTTTTTCGATTAAGGGCTTTATTTGCAATTCGAAACGTTCCACATTCATTTGAAATCTTTTAACATCGTATAACCAAGTATTAATTCGGCTTTCTTTATCATTTATTAAGAAAATAACCGGAACTTTGTCGAAACAAACACGTCTGTTATTCATGACAGTTTGCAATCAAATATTTTTTACATGAGACTGGGGAAAATAATACACCGAACGAATTAAATAATATTTATTATAATTTCTATTACAGCTTAAGATTATTCAATTTAGTTCTTATTTCATACATTTTAATTGCTTCTTTTAAATAACTAATTCGTTTTAAATGTAATTCTAATCTACGACGAAGCAGTCTAACTGCACTTGATTTGTTTTCCACATGAACCAATGCCTTCTTCATTCTTCGATAAATTCGATATTGATGGTTCGACCGATCGGACCTCTATTTACCAAGTACAATTTCAAGCCGTTCACGATCTTCTGGTTCAGATCGCTGATCACTGAGTCGGTGAATTTTTCGGTAAATCTCTGTGGAAGTATCGTTCTAGACTCTTCAAGTTGCACAAATATCTTGTCACCGTACTTTGTAGACAGTTTACTAAAATTTTTTGTTAAAAATTTTTTATTTTCTTCTAAAGTTTTCGCACTCACAAAAGCTTGCAAGTGAGACTCTTTATTCAAGGTAGAAATGAAAGATGACATTTCTAAGTGTTAAATAATTGAATTCAAAAAACTAATTAATTCTTACACACGAATCCATCGACTTTTATACAAGTATAAAACGGAAGTGGGGATGCGAGATTGCGTCCGAGATCCCTCCCCGACCTAAACGAAAAGAGGGGATAGATCTCGAGATGAACGAGGGCAATAAACGACCAAGGTCGAGCAACGACTAGGTCAATGATCGCCCGATGAAAAGTAATGGGGGAGCTGGACCAGCTGGCAAGGTCAGTCACGTGCACCGACAAGCTCGACAACAAATGAAAGGTCAATGACCGCTCGATGAAAAGTAATGGGGGAGCTGGACCAGTTTGACCTCATTTGACCTGGTCTAGAACCCCCACTATATAACTACTGAAATATGACGGCCCATCCTGAACGAAATAATCGACTTCGAATCGAGCCAAAAATTGATAAGTTTGAACGATCACCAAAAACATTGCACTTAGTTTGGACAAAAATAGTACAAACTGCAAACATTTTAAATGGTACACATCGATCACTAAAAACCGGCAAATCTTCATGTAATCTTCATCTACAAACACTCGGTTATTTAAATGTGCATTTTAATTACGGAAATCTTACAATTCATCTTGTATCACAACAGCGACTGCTTTTACTGTCAGAAAAAAATCCACACTGAACAGAAATACGTGAAAGTTAAACCGTAACTAAGATCATATGGGTTATTTCAATTCAAAAACTTTTTCCATCTAATATTAAGCAGTGTAATGGGGGTTAAAGCGTAGCGATAGTTTTTTAACAAACTAAACAATAAAACGTACAAGACTAACAAAAAACGATTTCTCATTAGGCGTAAAACATCACATATAAATCTGCATGGCAATTATTTTACTATTTGAAAGTTGAAGGGAACTTACAAGAAAGGAGAGAATCTAACCACAAGGAAAACTGCAGATTAATAATTTTAGACAGAAAAGAACGTAGCGTCGAACTTTTATTTTGTATATTTATTCTGTCAATGTTTTCTTTTTCGATTTTCCCATTGCATTTTTAATTTGTTGGATTGAATTTTGTAGCAAATCTTTTGCGAATTTTGTGTGATATTAACTTCTAGGTGGTTCTCTATACATACTCGTATGTCTATAAATCTATGCGACAAATCTTCATGTAATCTTCGTCTACAAACACTGGGTTATTCAAATTTGTCCTTTAATTACGGAAATCTTTCAATGCATCTTGTATCACAACAGCCACTCGATGGTAGAAGAAAATCCATACTGAACAGAAATACGTGGATGATAATTCTTAGAACAATATCGGGTCTTCCATCTATTATTAACCAGTGTAATGGCGGTCAAAGTGGAATCGATAGTTTTCTATATGTCTAAGCAATAAAACAAATACAATTAACAGAAAATGGCTTCTCATTACCCGTAAAACATCAAATATAAATCTGCATACGAATTTTTTACTAATTGAAAGTTGAACGAAGCTTACAAGAAAGTGCAGAATCTAACCACGAGGAAAACTGCAGAATAATAGTTTTAGTCGGAAGATTTTTTTTATTCTCTCTATTATTTATTTGTCGATTTTTTTATTGAATTTTATTGATGCTGCTTCCATATAGTTATAGCTTTTGACTGGTTCGATTTTTCGTCCATTCCGTTCCATTTTGTGGCCTTGTTCTTTCGCCGCATTATCATCGTTTTTATTTGTCTATAGGTACTTACATCTACATCTTCTCTAGTTCGTTTTGATATTCGATTTGAGTTTGTTACAAATCTTGTGTGAATTTTGTGTGTGCTCTAAACTACTTATTAGGTGGTTCTCTACACACAGATCTTTCTTCGTTTTCGTTTTCTGTCTGTTCCCCGTATTTCCACTCAGCTCAACAAAGTGTAGACAGTTTTTCTGACTATTTTTCTAACAACTTTGTAGATCACGTAGAACGTAATTGCAGTAGGCATATAACAGTGAAACATAATATTGATATACCGTCCTAAACGATGGAATATTTTCAGCAATTAAAAAATTAATTAATTAATTGCTAAACCTTTATTATACATCTTTAATTTATTACTTAATAATATTACAGATCAATTAACAAGTATCGTCAAATAACCATTGTCTCCAATTTTTCTAAGAATTTTGAGATTCTTCTTTTTAATCACATACAGTCCTGTATAAAACCTTAAATATATCTCAATTCCAACATGGCTTTGTTGGTCTAAGGTCAGTTTTTTCACATTTGTTACAGTTTACAAAATATGTTGTGGAAAAACTTAATAAAAGGGGTCAAGTAGCTGTGATCTATTCAGATCTTTGGAAAGCATTTGACCGGGTTTGCCCTAAACATTAATTGAAAACTTGGCGAAAGTTGTTTCGACAGGACTTCCCTTGCTCCCGCAGTGCAAATTTAAAAAATTGATTTAACGAATTTGTATTTAGTAAAATAATTATAAGAGCTATTTTATAAAATTTAGGATTATAAATGTTTTTGAGATGTCATGACATTGAAACGGCGATTGCGCAAATTTTACCTTTATATATTAACTTTTTTCACAGGCGCCCAGAACAATAAAATTAATTCATATTGTGCAAGTTTTACTTCATACGTATTTTGCATTGAACATGTATTAATAATAATAAAAATGTCACATAAATATAATTATTTGACGTTTGGAAATAAACCTCTTTATTTATATAATATGTATCAACATTAAATATACTGTCATCATTAAACTCACATTTTAATAAAAAGAACATACTTATATACAGAAAAAAAACCTATTTCTGTCAGGTCAGTAGACTACAATCTTGTAACATTTAGATGAAGATTACCTTTGTTCATTATAAAGGGTATACCATTATCTAATTCAAGGGGTACTTTTGTGGTCTCTGATACATCGAAAGCAAAATCCTTCAAGCAGTAAACCAAAGCTAGTTTGCTTACCAAAAGTGCGAACCTTTGTCCTATAACCACAAATATTGTGTACAAACTCATTTCCTCTATTTCTACTACATACCAATGCAACTTCTTGGACCATCCCCAAAAGGTAAATATGTATAAGGTAATATATTATTCTTATTTTCCGGACTGAATCTCTCAGGATCAAATTTTTCCGGATCAGGATAATATTCCGGGTCGTAATGTAATCCAACAACCGGAATTAATACAGAAACATTCTTGTCAATAGTTAACCCGGTGTCTTCAAAATTGTAAGTTCCTTCACATCCTCTGTCCAAGAAAATAGTAAGGGGATATTTTCTCAAAGCCTCTAAAAGCACAAGGTGTAGACATTGATTAAAGTTACTTAAAAAATAATAAACCATTTAAAACCATATCGAGGTACGTCATTTCTTGAATCGCTTCGTACGTGAAGCTACCATGTTTGTCAAAAGTTTCTCTAACTTCTTGGCGCAGTCGGTCTTGAACATCTTTGTTTAGTGATAATTCATACAAAGCGAAAGCTAACGTCAAAGAGGTCGTTTCATTTCCAGCGGTGAAGAATTGGATAGCTTGTGCAGCCATCTTTAGGTCATCTATAAAGTAAACCTCGATAAAATGATAACCCGACTATTTACGTCACACGACATACCAAATTTATAATTTTCATTAAAACTCTCGTTCTGCTTCAAATTGTTGAGCAAATCAATCAAATCATTCCGCAAAATCCCTCTCTTCTTACGCTCTTTCAGAGTGTTGTTAAATACATCAATCAAATAGCTGGAGGCCCCTTTGTCAAGCAGGCTCAACCGAAAAATGTCGACCAATTTAGGCGCGAAAAAATAACTAAACACTACGAAATTTCGAATCAGCGACTTAAAATCTCCCAGTTTTGTGGCAACCTCCAATATCTCCGACTTCTCGTTCTTAAGACAGTACGCATTGATGCCGAAAGCACACGACGAAATAATATCCACAGCATATTTTTTCATTACGTCTCTAATTTCGATTTTATCGCCGCTGTGTTTCTCCACACAAGCGGCCAAATCAGAAGCACATTCTTGAATTAGCGGCAGCATCAGCTTCATTTTTCCTGAAGTGAAAACCGGGGAAAGTTTGGTGCGCAGGTTTTTCCATTCCTGGTCGCGTGAAGCGAAAAGGCCGTGGTACGTCAGAGCGTCTGCTTTTTCGTTGGAGGCGATTTGGTGGTTTACGAACTTGTCGAAATCTTTTACTAACACTTTTTTGATCAGTTGTGGGTCTCTGACGACGAGGTGTGGGCGGTTAAAGATGTAGATTCCGCAGTACGGGGTTTTGAAGTTGTCGTATATTTCACGAATTCGGTAGAAAAGGTGTTGTTGTTTTGTCACTATCTTGTAGAAACTTCCAAAAATGAAAACTGGTTTTTCGAAGGGGACGTTTTTGGATTTCCAGTAGCCATAGTTTTTTGTTAAGAGGTAGTAGAACAAGAGTAAAAAGCACGCTAAGTAAATGAAAATCATATGTAACAAATACAACTTAGACGATAATGTTTAGGGTTTTCGTGTTATACCCACAGTGGATCACTTATCAGTCGTTATTATAAACTGAACTTGAAAATTAAATTTTTGTATTTATATGTAGCTCATTATCATAAGATACGTAATTTGTTTTGTAAACACTTCATTTGGGTTTACGCTGTGTGGAATGATAGATAATATTAAATTTACTAGTCATTATATGTGACTTTCTCTTTTTAGAAAAAAACTGCACACCTTGTGATACCCAGTAAACACAGTTGTGACATTAACGTGACAGCTATATACTCACAAGAGAACAATGAGTACATCGCGTGATTATGTCTTAACGATATACCTGGAACGTAAGCTATGTAACATCACAGTGGAATACTCATGCTATGTAACCAACACGTAATGTTGACTACATTTATTACATATCTCATTATTATGTCGGAGCAACATAGCTTACATATAAGCGTTTAAACATCACACTGTGGTACTCCTGTTATATAACTAACACTTAATGTTAACTGCATTTACTAGATATCTCATTATTGTGTCGCAGCGATATAGTTGGCAGGTAAGCCTTGTAACATCACAATGGTGTAATACGGTTATGTAACCAACATGTAATGTTAACTGTAGACTAGATATCTGATTAATATATATACATGCTTCGGAATGTTATTTTTATTCGTTAATTATGTAAAGTGCTTTTCAGTTCATTTTACAAAATGGCATGTCAAATCGAAAATTAACGTTTCTGACAGGGCAACACCAAAAAACATTTAAAAACATACATATCGAGTATTATATAGCTCTATTTTATATTTATTATTTATGTTTGTGTTGCAAGTAAATAGTATATTCATAAACAAAAGATGCTGAGTCTTAAAAAAAGAAATTTCTTCCCTGTCTTAAATCTTGCACAAGCGAGATGACGCCAATAGTGAGTTGCTCTTAATTTTTTTTTTTTTCATATTATATTTCCTGTAATTATATTTATTTATAATTTTATTTTTATACGTCCATAACGACCTGCGCTTTATAAAACAGAACAAGAGACTTAATGCACATAGTTTATGATCAGAATTAAAAAATGTCCCATCTAACAGGTAATACGAATTAAGACTAGTAATGAGACATTATTTTTTAACCTCTGCCTATGAGTCACTGCCAAACAGGAACAATTATACATACACAGAATTTTGAAATTAGCTCGAAAAATAAAATCATATATTTCATCATTTTATTAATTCTAATGCAAAATATGTTGATCGGCAACAAAAGCAACACAAAAAAAATCGAAATTAAAAAACGAATCTATTTCAAGGTGAGCGATATCGTTCTAAAATAAAAATGAATTAAATAATTTCTTCACTTTGATCGTAAGGAAAATAAATAATAATTTGAATACGAAACAATAATTGGTCATCGAGTTTTGTATATTGACTTTCGTACTCAGTTGTAGGTATATCTGTTTAACATTAAATTTTCAAAAGTTTGGACTTTTCCAATGTAATCTTGGGCTCTAAAATAAACTGGGAATGTATAATGTATAATTATAATTGAGTATTTTCGTGGTTGATCTTTAAATTATTATTTTCTCAAAAAATTCACTTCATTTCATATCCAATATGTAGCTAACTGAAAACTGATAATAAAGTAGTAGATATGACAAAATAGTGTAGACTATTTTTAATTTCGGTAATAGAGTGTATGTATAATACCAATACATCGGGTATGTTTCTGTTTTTGTCTTCGTTGGACACCACTGTATTTACAGTATTTACGCAGGTATAGAATTCCGCCCCTAAAATCCCACGTAGGGCATCCTTTGTCCACGTAAATACAATGTCTAGAATGAAGACAGAAACAGAAAAATGTCAGATGTGGCAATTCACATACAGTTTTACAACACCTTATCAAAATTTAAAAAAAACACTATGGTATTTTTTGAAATTTATTGTTAAAGATTATATGGTCAATTAGTTGTGGGTCGTCGTATTCCTTAAAAAGTGGCCTTCGTCAGTGAGTTCGTAATGCTTAATTAATAATTATATTCAGAGCGAAAAATACAACGGCTTTATTAGAAATACACCAAAGACAAGTTTTTTCATTCTAATAATTTCTAATAATTATTTCTGTAAATTTGTTCACTCTTGAAGTGTTATTTTGCAAGTACCTGCTTGGAAAATTATAAATAGAACATCTGGGGTTGATGTAGGGAAGACCCAACGACACAAACAAAGTCATAAAAATTCTTTGTCCATTGTCCCTGAAACGGGACAAGGTTTTGAAGAGTTCATTCGTCGAATTTTGATTTTATAAAGACGTTTATAAAGCGATGATGGGTACCAAAAAAATTAGAGAATGTTCAATTTTTAATTTTATTAAATTTATTTCATCTAATGAAAAAATAACGCTCAACTTCTGCATTTACTATCCACCAGATGTTTGGGGGGTGCGATCCCTTTTTTCAGTATTTATGTTTATTGCACTTCACACTCACAGTGAAGCTTTCGAATTCCATTTGGTCATTTGGTTCACAACTACCGAACCTTTTTCGTGGATCCGTAACTCACTTCATTTTTAATGCAGTTTTGTGAAAATTTCTGCCATTCAGTGTGGGTTGAATTTACACTAGGTAAGTTAATATAATTCTAATGAAGTAATCATTTTAATTTTTACGTGCTTCTGTTGTGTTTGATAACTGTACGTAAATAACAAAAACAGTTTTTTCAGATAAGCTGGAAATTCCACCATTAATCGCTGAAGAAACTCCCGCTAATTTTGAAGAACTTACGGTCATTGTTTTTGAAAGTGAGGCGCTTTGCCATAAAATGTTGCAAAGGTATGTTACTGCAATTTTTTATGAACTAGGTGCTAATGAACATAATTTTACTCTAGACTTGAAACAAATACAAAAAATATGTGCGAAACAAAAGAAATTCTAAAGGAAACGAGTGAACAAATCTCCAACCTGAAAACGTCATCAAAACTGACAAATCAAAAAGAAAACAGTAATAGAAGATATGCCGCCAAGACCACAGCTAAACAAATTTTGAGGAATTAGAAGATTATCTTTGCATACTGCAACAAACAGGTTTCTTTGTGAGTTAAAAAAATACAATAAATTTATATGTAATATCCGTTCACAAAACTCCCGCACTGTCGGAATGACATTCTGTTGGTATGAGAAATAATCCTCTAAAAGATTTTTAAGTTTATATGATTACCGCCTTGAATTTCAAATTTTCAAAATTAATGAATGAAAAATCAAATGTTTATTAACTATTTTACCTTTTGATTTGCTGAAGTGTTGAATGTGTTTAAAGAACTTGTCAGTAATTCAAACAAATTGTACCGCCAGAAGCGTAGAAATGGAAGTAAGGTCAAAAATATATATTATTCAAAAAAAGCTTTCGTTATCGTTCCTGTGTCATACTCTTTCTTTACTTGAACTGATAAAAATCTTCAGTTAAAGTGCTTTTGACATTTTTATTTGACAAGTTATTTTTAGTTACTAATTTGTCACTAGATTGCAATTTTGCAACATATTGTACAGGTTTTTCGCATCTCACCACTGAGTACACTCAGGTCATTTTTTCCAAATCTGACACTGACAGTGCGGGAGTTTTGCGAACGGATATTACTTACATATAACATAATATTGGATATTATATACAGCTAGATGTCTGTAATACTATAACACTTTTTATGAACCTGCTAAACATGACACATTTCGCTTAATACGTTACATATACAGTGGGTTTCAGAAAAGTCTTATACGTTATACATACGCGGTGACTTCCAAATAGATTCGGAAAAAAAATCCTTTAATTGTCACACGGATTCAAGGTAATTAAATTTCCAGTTTCAAGAAACAAATACGGAATATCTAATTAAATGTCAATGATGCGGCAATGATTTATTCAGTTTCCATTGTGACTAAATTTTTTCTTTGTTTTTGCTGTGTATTGCTTAGATGAAAACAAATGGCACTGAATGAGGTGTAGATATTGATATTTTTCCCCCTGAATTAGGACTAGATAAAAGAAGTTACTTAAAATTTTCTCTACTTCGTGATGTTGTGGTTTTATTTTCCGAACTTATTTCAGAGTCACTCGGTATATACACATAAAAATATACACACTTTTTCTTATTTCAGGAACTGCTATTGTCACAGATAGGTGGTAATGGGAAAAACAACAATGTGGGGCGTGCAATAAAAAATATATTTTTCGCCGAATTTGCTGTAGCTTGTTCGTTCAGTAGGAAAATTCCAGAATGGCTGAGACAAAAACAATGAATATCACGAAAGGTTTTTTTTGCAATAAATATAATTATTACAATTTTTATTTTTGAAGAAATTACAATGAAGATCCATTCCCCAATAGAAAAAGAGTGGCTACGACATTCTAGTCAACCCCTGCAGAAAGAAAAAACAACGACAGTTTATAGTTTCTGTGTCTTTTTGTGAGTGTAAACTATATTGTATTATTTTCAAAATAGGAAATCATAGATATATTTATTTATTTATATTATGAATTCATATTACTTTTTGTATTTTATTGCTTACTACATATTACATTTTTTCAAACACTGAATTAAATAATAATTTACTGAATTAAGTTCTGTAGCTCTAAATTTTACCCTCCATATCCATATCCCTAAATGATACATATAAATGGTAGCTAGACTTTTTGAAATGCCTATTCATATCGCATAGATTATGTTAATAAGATATACTGAGAGTCATATGTTTACGATGTTGCGATATATACGTAACGTCTATGTCCATTTAATACGTTATACTGGCGTTTAAAATAAAACGTAACTGATACATCGAAATATAGAGAATCTAGCGACGTACTAACGCAACGTTATGACGATGTTCCAGCGAGCACGTCTCTAGTCTGAAACAATGTGGATGTCACCAGTATGTTACAGGCATGGGTGATTGTTGATTACATTACATAGCACAGGAAAAGCAAATGTACGCAGTATGAAATGTAACAGCTAACGTGATCGTAGACAGAGTTAAGTGGCGTTAACATCGCTACGACGTAACTGTGTTTACTGGGGTGTAGAAAATTCCAAAGATTTAAAGATACTCTACAAATATATTCGTAATAGGCTCACCGGACCTGTTAGAAATCCACAACTTCGTAACGAGAATGGCGTTGTAGTAGCTGAACAACACCTCTATTATCTACACCCAAAGTCAATTTTGCTCTTAGTGATATAGCGTTCCCGGAGGAATTAATTAATATCAAGTTGAGTAAACTTAAATCAACCACCTCACCTGGACCAGATGGGATTACTCCGACAGTTCTTAATAAATGTGCTGAGACCGTGTGCATACCTTTGAAGATTTTAATGACACAATTTTTTCAAAACAGTCAACTTCCTGAAGATTGGAGACTGACCACTGTAAAGCCGATTTTTAAAAAAGGCGATAAATTTCAAACTGTGGACTACAGATCAATTAGTCTCACGGCGGTCATAGCCAAAGTCATGGAATCTATTATTTCCGATGAGATAAGAAAGCTTCTGCTTGCGAACAACGTCCTTCTTGCTGAACAGCACAGATTTGTCCCAAAAAAGTCTGTGTCCACTAATCATTTTTGCGCCGTATCAGATTGGTCCAAAAATTTTGACCGTGGTGTTGCTACCGACGTTGTGTATTTTGATTTTTGTAAAGCTTTTGACAAAGTTCCAATAACAAATCTTCTGTCAAAACTTTGACACTATGGCATTACAGGACTGTTACTAGAATGGATTAAAGGATTTTTAACTAATCGAAGTTTCAGAGTTAAAATCGGTGCATCACTGAGTGATCTGACAGCTGTGGAGAGTGGAGTGCCGCAGGGTTCGGTGCTGGGTCCGTTGCTCTTTATAACGTATATTACGGATTTAAAAACAGAAATCCAGTCAAGGTGTTTCTTCTACGCTGATGACTTAAAAATTTACAATGACAGTCCCACGAATTGCAGTATTTTGAGTAAAGATATTTTAATAGTGAATCAGTGGTCCAAGAAGTGGCTCCTCCCAATAAATAAGCAGAAATGTTCAGTGCTACATATAGGACCGAATAACAGCAAATATGTTTACTCAATGGATGGAGTAGTATTAACCTGTACTAATTCCCAATAGGATCTAAGTGTAATAGTAAACTCAGAACTGACATGGAGTGATCACATCGTGAGTGTTATTAAAAAAGCAAATTCCTTTGGGTATTTACTACAAAGATCTTTTATAAAACCAAGTGTAAGCACCACGTTAAAGTTGTATAAAAATTTTGTAAGACCAGTACTCGAGTTTGCAAATAACGTTTGGTGGCTTGTGCTCATTGAAGATCAAAATCGTTTGGAATCAGTACAACAAAGAATGATTCGTCTTCCCTATGGTAATGACCTTAATGACCCTTTCCGACCGTCTTATTCTGAGCGTCTTATCATAATGTCGCTACCCACATTGAAGGACAGAAGAATTCGAGGGATGTAATTTTCACCTTCAAATCGTTGAGGCTCGAGAATCCATTGATACAGGATTTATTTACCTTATGCCCAATTTCCAGAACTAGAGGTCATTGCTTCAAACTGAAAAAAGAGAACTTTCGCACAACTATAAGACAGCATTTCGTAACAAACAGAGTGTTTTACACTTGGAACAAGTTCCCGGAGGAAGTCGTCCAGAGTCCTAATGTTAATGTTTTTAAAGCTAGATTTCACAGTTTATAGATTGTTCACATATTGTTATAATTGTACAGTTCCGTGGGCATAACAGGGCTTGCCCTCTGCCCTTTATCTTTTATTAATAATAATAATAATATAATGAGACTGATCACAAACAAGACAGTAAAAGTGGTATGGGAAGTGGTGACAATACAAAAGAGGAGAAGAGGAAGACCGAGAAGAGACGTGGTATGATATGGCAAGGGGAAAAGAGATGAAGTAAACTGAAATATGAAGCAAAAAATAGAAGCAAGACCAACAATAACTTCTACACCCACGGTCAATGCTATCAAGTCAAATGTCAATGATCTGGCAACCCGACTGAATTTAAAATAATAGTGGTGAAACCGTGTATGCTCTAAAGTATATGCCTACTTAGTCTTCGGAAATCATTACCCTGTGACAAAGCAAAAAGTAAAAAGAAATGAAGATGAACCATAAACTCTACACCCACGGTCAATGCTGTCAAATTAAATGTCAACTAACTGTCAACCCGACTGAATTTAAAATGATAGTGGTGAAACAATCCATGCTCTAAAGTATATTCCTACTTAGTTTTTGGAAATAATTACCAGGCCCGCTTCAATTAAACTTTTATTGTGCGTCCATTACGTATCGATAACTGCTCAGGAAAATAGTTACTAAAATACAAACAATTATTTAACAAAGTTTTAAGCAACTATAGCTACAAATAAGTTGAAAGTCAGTTAGTCCCAAAATTCGAGATAAAAACGCCCATTCAGAAACTGCCCGACTTTGATTTATGCAGTCTCTCCATCACGGAAATCATAGAGAAAAAAGTTTTTGCCATCTGCAACCAAACAATTTAATCTTCGCTGGTATGTTCAATTACGTGATATACTCACCTGGACCCCCATTTCGTAGTTAACGGAAATATTTTCGGAAAATTTTATTTTAATCGGTTTCGACAAAGATATCAGCAGCATCAAATACATTTTCTTGTTGAATTCGTCCCAGACGTACCACTCGACTTCAACTAAAGCGTTGAATATTTCAGTCTTCTACAAAATTGTTAAATTTCAAAAAATCAAATTTTGACACCAGCCAGAGAAACGTTACAGTCGAATTAAAATGAAATAGATTAATCAATTAAGCAAAAAAGTTTAAAACTTCTGGCCAGTGTATTTTCTGTTCTTACATAATCTTCGATAGCTTGGCCACCCCATGCAGTTCCCAATAGTGCAGTAAACGACATAATTGTGATGGCGCAGATACGAAAGTACTGATCCCTTAGGGAACCCTCAAACTAATTTGGTTTTCACTTAAAAAAAAAAAAACTGTGATTTTACCCAAAAATAAAAGACAACGATGCTCATCATGAGCGCAGAACCCATGATTTTCAGCGGCAAAACTATAAACTGCATTCGTTTTGCTGCCTCCCAGGCACTACTGAGAATTTTCACTTTTTCATCAGAAAGTGCTCATTTTTAACAATACTTACTTCTCGCTGAATGAAAACGAATTTAGCAAACTTTTCAAATTTCTGGTGATTTCGTTCTGGTTCGTTGCTTTTGTAGCATTAATTTTTTTTATTTGTTGCTGGTACCTCTGAACTTGAAGATTAACAATTTGAAATGAGTACAATATGTTGAAGCAAGCTATAGTCGCGCCCACGTACGTTAAGGGCATAGCTAAACACCTGTAAAGAAATTTAAAAAAATTGCTCCATTTTGGCAGGTACATGTTTGCTAGTTTGAAAAGAAAGAAAAAATCATCGTCGTCTTTGGTTGGAATCATTAACGAAATTGCCACTAGTACGGAAGTCATCGTAGTCCAGACCACATAGATGAAGAAGTAGAAGGCACTTTTTCTTGCTCTTTTTGGAACGGATTTGATGATGTTTTGCGAAGTGTTTTGCTCCACGCTTTCTGCTATCGATTCTACTGTCTCTGTTACCAAAGGTTGTGCTAATAGACAGGTTAGTACCTATAATCACATAAATCACGTTGTAAATAGGCAAAGTTTTGGACGTTTTACATATAGTCCGATGAAATATGACGGCCCATCCTGAACGAAATAATCGACTTCGAATCGAGCCAAAAATTGATAAGTTTGAACGATCACCAAAAACATTGCACTTAGTTTGGACAAAAGTACTACAAACTGCAAACATTTTAAATGGTACACATCGATGACTAAAAACCGACAAATTTTCATGTAATCTTCGTCTACAAACACACGGTTATTTAAATGTGCATTTTAATTACGGAAATCTTACAATTCATCTTGTATCACAACAACCACTCGATGGAAGAAGAAAATCTACACTGAACAGAAATACGTGGATGATAAACCTTAGTTAGAATAATATCGGTTTTTGAAATGCATAAACTTCTTGCATCTATTATTAACCAGTTTAATGGCGGTTAAAGTGTAATCGATAGTTTTCAAAGCAATAAAACAAATACGATTAACAGAAAATGGTTTCTCATTATCCAAAACGTCAAATATAAATCTGCATACGAATTTTTTACTATTTAAATGTTGAACGAAGCTTACAACAAAGTGCAGAATCTAACCACAAGGAAAAGTGCAGATTAATAATTTTAGTCGGAAGATTTTTTTTATTCTCTCTATTATTTCTTTGTCGATTTCCCCATTGCATTTTATTGATGTTCCCAGATAATTATAGCTTTTGACTGGTTCGATTTTTTGTCCATTCCGTTCTATTTTGTGGCATTTCTCTTTCGCCACATTATCATCGTTTTTGTTTGTCTATATGTACTAACATGTACATCTTCTCTACTTCGTTTTGGTATTCGATTAGAGTTTGTTACAAATCTTGTGTGAATTTTGTGTGTGGTCTTAACTATTAGGTGGTTCTCTACACATAGATCTATACATCTTTCTCGTATTTGCATTCAGCTCAACAAAGTGTAGACGGTTTTTCTGACTATTTTTCTAACAACTTTGTAGATCACGTAGAAGGTAATTGCAGTAGGCATATAACAGTAAACCATAATATTGATATACCCTCCAAAACGATGGAAAATTTTCAGCAATTAAAAAATTAATTAGTTAATTGATAAACCTTCATTATACATCTTTAATGTATTACTTAATACTTTACAGATCAATTAACAAGTATCCTCAAATAACCATTGTCTCCAATTTTTTTAAGATTTTTGAGATTGTTCCTTTTAATCACATACAGCCCTCTATAAAGACTTAATTATATTACGAGTCTCGTTCTTCGAGATTACATCGTAGTACCGCTACTTTGACTAGATCCAACCACAAGCTTTAGAGAATAAATTTAAAATTTCGGCTTCCCGTCGCCTGCTCCTACGCCGCACCCTAGCGGCTAATCGTCATAACGTTTTTTGTGCTAGAATAAACCACATGTTTGAGGATGTAATTCTATCAAGAAATGAATTGTTTATTCTAGAATTATTGTCCTTTATTGTCTTTCGGACAAAGATTACACATGGGGAAAAAACGCAGCAGAGAAAGAGATGAGGAGAGCAAGTGCGAGAAGCGGATTAAGAGGTTAGAAAGAGTGGTGCAGTGTCTGACGGACACATTTATAAAATCACTCGACAAAGGTAAATTAAATTATATTATTAGAAATTATCTAATAAATAACACGACGTCAGGACTCTATAGGATGAGACCTTGACGGTCGTCCAGGCTGGTGAATTTTGCACGTAGGAGGCAATAACAACCAGTGCATTAAATTTTCATCTGGCATTAGGGCAAAAATTAAGTAATTAATTTTCCTTGCAGATGGAAATCAGGTTGACCCTGGTAATGAAAATGAATCCGTCAATCCCCTAGTCGGGGATCCCGGGTTCAAAGAGTCAGTCAGGTGTACCTCGGACTCAGACAAGATCCTCGAGGAGATCGCGCAGATGCAGGCTGAGGAAGAGGGCCTAGTAGTAAAGGATGATGCCCAGTCTACTGAGGCAGCTGAGTCTAAGAAGCTAAATAACGAGGTGGAACTGCTTCTAGGAGATGATCCAGGGGCTAAGAAAAAAGATCAAGTAGAGCTGCATGAGAGCTTGGTGTCGCGTTGGGCATCTTGGCTGTCTGACGGATTGCCGAAAGAGATTAAAGTCCAAGTAGTGGACAAATATCCTCGAAAGGGGAATATTTCTCTCGAGGCCCCAGAATTAAATGAAGAAATAGCAGCTACTCTGAACGAAACGGGGGCCAAGAGGGATCAGCTATTTACCCAAGAACAGAACTTAGCTGGTTCAGCCTTGTCAGCATTAGGACAAGGCATCACGATGATTTTAAAAGATGAGGAAGAACCCCTAGATCGTCTGGAGTTACTAGAAAAATTAGCGGATGCAGGAAAACTAATTACGCAGCTACATTTCCAGGTCTCTTCAGCTAGAAGAGCGTTTATCTCTCCAATATTGACCAAGTCAATGAAAAATCTGTTACAGACGACCAAGCCTGGGTCTCTGTTGTTTGGAGAGAAGCTAACTGAAAAGATAAAAACTGCAAAGTCAATGGAGAAGATCGGCAAAGAGATTAAAGCCTCACCTCTTCCATCGACCTCTGGTACTAGCAAGAAACCAAGCAAGCCAGCCCCTAGACGCACTTTAAACTGGCGGGGCCCGTATGCGAGACAGGGGAACTCGTATCAGGGCCCAAAACAGTATCAGACGAAATTCCCCCCATCTCAGCCTGTCAGCAAGAGTACATACAGCAATGTCTCGAAGTCAACCAGCAAGCCGCGGCCACTGAGGGATGCAAAGAAATAAATAATAATGAGATTAGTAGCAGGACGACTCAGTCAGTTCCTTTCGCAATGGGAAAAAATCACCAGGGATCCCTTCGTTCTGAATTGTGTGAAAGGGTATGAAATTCCCCTTCTTGAAGGACCACCAGGGTCCCTGAGCGTTAATAAAGAATTGCAATTTTCGGCAGAAGACGAAAAACTGTTAGAATACGAAATAACAAAACTGGTAGCTATGGGGGCAATAATTAGATGCGAAGCTGTAGAAGACCAATTTTTATCACCGTTTTTTCTAGTGCCAAAGCCAGATGGCTCTAAGAGATTCATACTAAACCTTAAATGTTTAAATCAATTTATAAAGACCAGTCATTTTAAGATCGAGGATATGAGAGTAGCCTTGAAATTAATTTATAAAAATTATTTTCTATGTAGTTTAGACTTGAAAGATGCAGATTTCTTGGTAAAAATTGGTCCGGGTAGTCAAAAATTTTTAAGATTTAAATTCAAGGGTCAAATATTTGAATTTCAATGCTTGCCCTTTGGACTTTGTACAAGTCCGTATGTATTTACAAAGTTACTAAAGCCAGTCCTGAACTTTCTTAGAGAAAGGGGATGGTTATCGACAGCGTACATAGATGATACGCTTTGCATCGGCAACTCTCGGGCCGTGTGCAAGAAAAATGTAGCAGTCACGAGGAAAACTCTAACGGAGCTTGGGTTCATTATAAATGAAGAGAAAAGTAAAGACGAGCCAGATTACAAATGTAAGTATTTGGGTTTTATTATAAACTCTAAGGACATGACTCTGTCCTTACCCGAGGAGAAAAAGTAGAGGTTAATTAAAACAATTCGAGAAATGTTAAGCAGAGATTCTTGTTTTATGCGCGAAATGGCGGGTCTAATTGGTGGATTGGTTGCAGCATGCCCAGGCGTACCGTATGGGATGCTGTATACCAAAATATTGGAAAGAGAAAAAATGAAGGCGCTAATCCTAAACGATCAAAATTTTGATCGAAGGATGATCATTCATTCATATGTAAAGAAAGATCTGGAGTGGTGGTTGAAGAATATTCCAGTAGCAAAGAATCCGATTAGGTCATTAAATTATAGGTTAGAGATTTTCTCGGATGCATCGCTCACAGGGTGGGGTGCGCACTGCAACGGAGAAAATATTCACGGATTTTGGTCTCAGGAGGAGAAGAAGTTACATATAAACCAGCTGGAGATTATAGCAGCGTTTTTGGCGCTTAAGTGCTTTGCTAGGGAAGTCCAAAATTGCAAAATCTTCTTAGAATTGACAATACTACGGCGATTTCGTATATCAATCGTATGGGGGGTGTACAATACGTAGAACTCAATCAAAGGGCTAAAGATATTTGGACTTGGTGTGAGAAAAGAAGAATCTGGATCTTTGCTTCCTACATCCCCTCGCGGGAAAACACAGACGCAGACAGGGAATCTAGAAGAGTCAATGTAGATACCGAATGGGAGTTAGGAGCCCCCTTCTTTCAGACCATAGTAGAAAGGTGGGGGTTTCCAGAAATAGACTTGTTCGCATCAAGGAGTAATGCTAAGACCGAGGTGTTCTGCTCCTGGAAACGAGACCCAGAAGCTCGGTACATTGACGCTTTTACAGTTAATTGGAGTAAATACCTTTTTTATGCATTCCCTCCCTTCGCGATAGTTGCTAAGGTGCTACAAAAAATCAATTCAGATAAGGCTCAGGGAATAGTGGTGGTCCCTCACTGGCCTACCCAGCCTTGGTTTCCCTTATTTAAATCAATGCTATTAGAAGAACTGTTGTATTTTTCGCCCTCACCTAAGCTTCTGTTATCTCCTTGCAGGTCTCTAATTCACCCGTTAGAGGATCATCTTTCCCTGGTTGCAGGGAGGCTCTCCGGCGATCGTATCAACAGAAACTAGTGCCAGCAGAAGCAGTAGAGATTCTAATCTCTTCACTAACGGATTCTACTCTGAAACAATACAACACAGCCCTTAAAAACTGGTGGAGTTACTGCCAGAGTGAAAAGAGTGACCCCCTACAACCAGATAGTTTTAAAATACTTAACATTTCGATTCAATCAGGAGGCATCATACGGCACACTTAATTCAGAGAGATCAGCGATTAATCTGATAAGCACGATAGACTTGGGTAGTGATCCTGCAATTAGTCGTTTTTTTAAAGGAGTCTTTAAAAACAGACCACCGAAGCCTAAATATGACACCACCTGGAACACAGAGGCAGTTCTAAACTGGGCAGAAGCACTGGGACCGTTGAAAGTCCTGGACCTAAAATCTCTCACCTTTAAGTTGGTATCTTTATTAGCCTTAGCTACAGCCCATAGGGTTCAGACATTGTCCCTAATCAAAATAAGTGACATGACAATTTCGAAGAGCAATGTTATCATAAAGATATCGGAGCAAATTAAAACATCTAGAGTCGGAGTTGCACAACCCTCGTTCAGTCTACCATTTTTTAAAGAGCGAAAGGGCGCTTGCGTCGCCACGGCGTTGTTGAAACACATAAAAAGAACCAAAGTTCTAAGAGGGAGTGAAGACTACCTGTTTATTACAATTAAGAGGCCCTACCATAGGGCAACTGCGCAATCAATAAGCCGCTGGATAAGGTGCTGCCTCGTAGAAGCCGGAATAGATCCCAAATACACTGCTCACAGCACGAGACACGCAGCCACGTCTGCTGAAGAGGCGAGAGGTTTAGATGTAAACATCATAAAGAGTACAGCTGGATGGTCAGCCAGCTCACAGGTGTTCGCAAAGTTCTACAAACGCCTGATAGAACCAAGAAAAGAATCGTTTGTAGAGGTGTTATTCAATCAACAGGGTGAATAAGTCTAAAATAAGTTTAAGTAAGTCTTAAATTAAGTTTAGCTTGAATAATGTTATTATGGCATTAAGCTCTGTAACAGGTATTAAGGAATAAGGACTAAGTTGGTTTGCTCTAAACATCTACGATGTAATCTCGAAGAACGAGACTCGTAATATAATTAAAAATCAAACGAACTTACCTTAAGTGATGTTCGATTATAATTATATAAGAGTCTCGTTCGAGATGATTACATCCCTCCCAAAAATTTTGTCCTGAAAAATTTTTCTCCCACCCCTAAAGTTGATAGTTTGGTTACAGCTTAATTCCATAATTTTGGAAGGAGCTTCAAACTGTATGACGATTAGCCGCTAGGGTGCGGCGTAGGAGCAGGCGGGGGGAAGCCGAAATTTTAAATTTATTCTCTAAAGCTTGTGGTTGGATCTAGTCAAAGTAGCGGTATTACGATGTAATCATCTCGAACGAGACTCTTATATAATTATAATCGAACATCATTTAAGGTAAGTTCGTACTTATATACACAAAAAAAACTATTTCTGTCGGGTCAGTGGACTACAATCTTGTAACATTTAGAGGAAGATTACCTTTGTTCATTATAAAGGGTATACCATGATCTAATTCAAGGGGTACTTTTGTGGTCTCTGATACATCGAAAGCAAAATCCTTAAAGCAGTAAACCAAAGCTAGTTTGCTTACCAAAAGTGCGAACCTTTGTCCTATAACCACAAATACTGTGTACAAACTTATTTCCTCTATTTCTAATACATACCAATGCAACTTCTTGGATTATCGCCAAAAGGTAAATATGTATAAGGTAATATATTATTCTTCTTTTCCGGACTGAATCTCTCAGGATCAAATTTTTCCGGATCAGGATAATATTCCGAGTCGTAATGTAATCCAATAACCGGAATTAATACAGAAACATTCTTGTCAATAGTCAACTCGCTGTCTTCAAAATTGTAAGTTCCTTCACATCCTCTGTCCAAGAAAATAGTAAGGGTATATTTTCTCAAAGCCTCTAAAACCACAAGGTGTAGACTTTGATTAAAGTTACTCAAAAAATAATAAACCATTTAAAACCATATCGAGGTACGTCATTTCTTGAATCGCTTCGTACGTAAAACTACCATGTTTGTCAAAAGTTTCTCTAACTTCTTGGCGCAGTCGGTCTTGAACATCTTTGTTTAGTGATAATTCATACAAAGCGAAAGCTAAAGTCAGAGAGGTCGTTTCATTTCCAGCGGTGAAGAATTGGATAGCTTGTGCAGCCATTTTAGGTCATCTAAAAAGTAAACCTCGATAAAATGATAACCCGAATATTTACATCACACGATACCTATACCAAATTTATAATTTCCATTAGTCACGTTTTGCTTCAAATTGTTGAGCAAATCAGACAAATCATTCCGCAAAATCCCTCTCTTCTTACGCTCTTTCAGAGTGTTGTTAAATACATCAATCAATTAGCTGGAGTCCCCTTTGTCAAGCAGGCTCAACCGAAAAATGTCGACCAATTTGGGCTCCAAAAAATAACTAAACACTACGAAATTTCGAAACAGCGGCTTAAAATCCCCGAGTTTTGTGGCAACCTCCAATATCTCCGACCTCTCGTTCTTAAGACAGTACGCATTGATGCCGAAAGCACACGACGAAATAATATCCACAGCATATTTTTTCATTACGTCTCTAATTTCGATTTTATCGCCGCTGTGTTTCTCCATACAAGCGGCCAAATCGGAAGCACATTCTTGAATTAGCGGCAGCATCAGCTTCATTTTTCCTGAAGTGAAAACCGGGGAAAGTTTGGTGCGCAGGTTTTTCCATTCCTGGTCGCGTGAAGCGTTAAAAGGGCGTGGTACGTCAGAGCGTCTGCTTTTTCGTTGGAGGCGATTTGGTGGTTTATGAACTTGTCGAAATCTTTTACTAACACTTTTTTGATCAGTTGTGGGTCTCTGACGACGAGATGTGGGCGGTTAAAGATGTAGATTCCCCAGTACGGAGTTTTGAAGTTGTCGTATATTTCACGAATTCGGTAGAAAAGGTGTTGTTGTTTTGTCACTATCTTGTAGAAACTTCCAAAAATGGAAACTGGTTTTTCGAAGGGGACGTTTTTGGATTCCCAGTGGCCATAGTTTTTTGTTAAGAGATAATAGAGCAAGAGTAAAAAGCACGCTAAGTAAATGAAAATCATCTGTAACAAATACAACTTAGGGTGGGTTTTTCCAAAATGTAGTTAACCTCTGGTTTCGTAACTTTTAGTTAACTTTAACTCCAAGTTAACTAGCAGTTAATTTTGAATGCGTTTTTCCAACAAATTTGTAAATTTGGTTAGAAAACTAACAGTTAACTATGATTTATATTTGGTATCTATGGCAACGTTTCACAAATCTGTTGTTTATTGTGATAAATGTCATTCAAATTCTTCTGGTGTGATTATTTTGTACAAAAATGAGTAACACAGAGAAAACAAAGCGGTGTTCTAACTTTACGAAAGAAGAGGAAAGGATTTTGACCCAATTGGTTCATAAAAATAGAAATATAATTGAATGCAAAAAAGTGGCCAGGTAACATGGGAGCAGAAGGCAAATACCTGGCGTACCATTGCAGATGAATTCAATTCCAGTGTTGGGGGGTGATTTAAAGGGGTCCAAATTTTAAAATGCAAATACGCCAATTTAAAAAAAAAGTTGCAAACGTTTATCTTTGTAAGAATTCTTTTCTATCCCATTTTTCAAAATGGTTTATACGTTCCCTTAAAACTCTTTGTTTTCGTACAGGCACCTCCTCATCGTCGCTATAAACGTTAATATCGACGAAATCCATCATTTTACTGATGACAGTTTTCTAAAATCAAACGTCAAAATATGAAACTACTAGTTAACTGATACTTTGAGTTCTGGTTAAATGAAACTAGAAGTTAACGTTAAACCGTTAGTTAACGAAAATGGAAAAACACTGCTGGCCTAGTTAACTGTGAGTTAGGTTAAACCGCAAGTTAACTAGAGATGGAAAAACCCACCCTTAGACGATAATGTTTAAGGTTTTCGTGTTATGCCCACAGTGGACCACTTATCAGTCATTATTATAAACTGAACTTGAAAATTAAATGTTTGTATTTATATGCAGCTCATTATCATAACATACGTAATTTGTTTTGTAAACACTTCGGGTTTACGCTGTGTGGAATGATAGATAATATTCAATTTACTAGTCATTATATGTGACTTTCTCTTTTTAGAAAAAAACTGCACACCTTGTGATACCCAGTAAACACAGTTGTGACATTAACGTGACAGGTATATACTCACAAGAGAACAATGAGTACATCGCATGATTATGTCTTAATGATATACCTGAAACGTAAGCTATATAACATCACAATGGAGTACTCATGCTATGTAACCGACACGTAATGTTGACTACATTTACTAGATATCTCATTATTATGTCGCAGCAATATAGCTGACATATAAGCGTTTAAACATCACACTGTGGTACTCCTGTTATGTAACTAACACCTAATGTTAACTGCATTTACTAGATATCTCATTATGGTGTCGCAGCGATATAGTTGGCAGGTAAGCCTTCTAACATCACAATGAAGTACTACGGTTATGTAACCAATATGTAATGTTAACTGTAGTTACTAGATATCTGATTAATATACAGGGTTAGTCACGAGAGAATTACTTCTGAAAATTATTTTTACGCAACCCAAAATACGAATACCATGTACCATTTGATACTAACTGAATTTAAAATGAAATGCTTAATCCATGATTGCTTTGAGTTTGGCAATCTCATTTTGACAATTGTGGAAAAGGAGGTTACGCGAGTGTCCATGGTGGTACCGCATCCAGTCGGAAATCTCCTCTGGCGCCGCTAATAAATTTGTCAGTGTGCCTCTTGATCTTTTGCAACCGATTAATCACGAGAAAATTATTTCCAAAAATTCCTTTTACGGCATTTTATTCAAAGGTTACAACACAAACTCAAACAAGTAAGTAAATAATTTAACTACTAATCTGTTGAAAATGTTGGGCATTTTGGAGAGATGCTACGGCTTTTTTGTAAATGGATGGCCGAAGAAGTCCAGAGGTTGCAGATTTGCACTTCAAAGAGGGTCTAGGTGACACAGAGATGGCGAATTAACACATGCACATTAGTGGCGAACAACATTGGTAGAGGACTTACGGCTTCAGGATAGCCCAGATTGATCTGACTGTATGTCGTCGATCCAATGGGGCTCTAGAGGCGAGTCAACGATGAAAAAAAAAATGTTAAAAATTAATTAACGTCAAAGTGACACTGTCAAAGCCAAAGCAATCATGGATTAGGCATTTCATTTTAAATTTAGATAATATTAAGTGGTACAGGGTATTAGTATTTTGGGTTGCGTAAAAATAATTTTCAGAAGTAATTCTCTCGTGACTAACCCTGTATATACATGCTTCGGAATGTTTTATTTTTATTCGTTAATTATGTAAAGTGCTTTTCAGTTCATTTTACAAAATGGCATGTCAAATCCAAAATTAACGTTTCTGACAGGGCAACACCAAAAAACATTTAAAAACATACACATCGAGTATTATATAGCTCTCTATTTTATATTTGTTATTTATGTTTGTGTTGCAAGTAAATAGTATATTCATAAACAAAAGATGCTGAGTCTTAAAAAAAGAAATTTCTTCCCTCTCTTAAATCTTACACAAGCGAGATGACGCCAATAGTGAGTTGCTCTTATTTTTTTTTTCATGTTATATTTTCATGTAATTATATTTATTTTTCCACTAGTAGCATTGCAATGGCTAATTGTCGACTTGTCTAGAGGTCTGTAATTTGGAAAATTGTGAACCTTGGTCAATAATGTAAACGTGAAGTTGGCCACCTAATGTGACAACTGTCCACAACTGAGACATAACCTGAAAACGATCATTTTGGAAAATTTGCTTTTAAATTATGCCCTGGAATGATTTCCAAACCCTGAATTGATTATAAATTGAGGATAAATTGGTGAAACTAAGTTGATGAAGTTGATGGGAGTGAAAATGAAGTTTACGGGACTGAAACTGAATCATGGTTCCGATTTGGTTTGACTTGATTTGCCGTAGATGAGCTTTGGACGATTTCGGCGATTTTTTTTTTATTGAAGATCGAGCCGTCGTTGCATCCTTCTGCTATGCTGGAGGATTTCCATTCCCCGTGTCGCTTTAACGATAAAAGGTCCATACCTTTTTCAGCCAAATTTGTCGCGGTCGCGTAAGTACGACGGTATGAGGAGGGGTACATGATGGTTCACTTTACATTTTTCACACAAAAATTTATTAAAAACGGGAAATATGGAGGAAATTAAAACAAAAGTTCTGGACCATTTCTGGATTGTCAAAAAATAATAAAATTCCAAAGCTTACTAAAATGACGTGAGTACACGTTTTTATTGATGCACTTCAGAAAAAACATTTTGAAAATTCGCAAACCTCAAATGGGCTACTAGTGGAAAAAATAGTATATTAACCACGTTTGTGAAGCTAATTCTAGACCTCGCGCTTTAGAGCCCTCGACGCTGCGCGTCTCAGGTTCTAATTTGCGCTCGGTCTAGAATGTCTGTCTTCACAACCTTAGTTAATAATATACTATTATAATTTTATTTTTATACGTCCATAACGACCTGCGTTTTATAAAACAGAATAAGAGACTTAATGCATATAGTTTATGATCGGAATTAAAAAATCTTCCATCCAACAGGTAACACGAATTAAGACTAGTAATGAGACATTATTTTTTAACTTCTACCTATGCGTCACTGCCAAAAAGGAACAATTATACATATACAGAATTTTGAAATAAGCTCGAAAAATAAAATCATATATTTCATCATTTTATTAATTCTAACGCAAAATATGTTGATCGGCAACAAAAGCAACACAAAAAAAAATCGAAATTAAAAACGAATCTATTTCAAGGTGAGCGATATCGTTCTAAAATAAAAATGAATTAAACAATTTCTTCACTTTGATCGTAAGGAAAATAAATAATAATTTGAATATGAAACAATAATTGGTCATCGAGTTTTGTGTATAGACTTTCGTACTCAGTTAGAGGTATATATGTTTAACATTAAATTTTCAAAAGTTTAGATTTTTCCAATGTAATCTTGGGCTCTAAAATAAACTGGTAATGTATAATGTATAATTATAATTGAGTATTTTCATCAGTATATCTAATATGTAGCTAACTGAAACTGATAATAAAGCAGTAGATATGACAAAATAGTGTAGACTTTTTTTAATTTCGGTAACAGAGTGTATGAATAATACCAATACATCGGGTATGTTTCTATTTTTGTCTTCGTTGGACACCACTGTATTTACAGTATTTACGCAGGTATACGTTTCCGCCCGTAAAATCCCATGTACGGCATCCTTTGCCCACGTAAATACAATGTCTGGAATGAAGACCGAAACAGAAACATATCAGATGTGGCAATCCACATACAGTTTTACAACACCTTATCAAAATTAAAAAAAAAAAACACTATGGTATTATTTGAAATTTATTGTTAAAGATTATATCGTGAGTGTCATTAAAAAAGCAAATTCCCTTGGGTATTTACTACAAAGATCTTTTATAAAACCAAGTGTAAGCACCACGTTAAAGTTGTATAAAAATATTTTCTGGAGTTTGCAAATAACGTTTGGTGGCCTGTGTTCATTGGAGATCAAAATCGTTTGGAGTCAGTACAATAAAGAATGACTCGTCTTCCCTATGGTAATGACCTTAATGACCCTTTCCGACTGTCTTATTCTGAGCGTCTTATCATAATGTCGTTACCCACATTGAAGGACGAAAGAATTCGAGGGGATGTAATTTTCACCTTCAAATCGTTGAGGCTCGAGAATCCATTGATGCCCATATTCCAGAACTAGAGGTCATTGCTTCAAACTGAAAAAAGAGAACTTTCGCACAACTGTAAGACTGCATTTAGTAACAAACAGTGCTTTACACTTGGAACAAGTTGCAGGAGGGAGTCGTCCAGAGTCCTAATGTTAATGTTTTTAAATCTAGATTTGACAGTTTATAGATTGTTCACATATTGTTATAATTGTACAGTTCCGTGGGCATAACAGGGCTTGCTCTCTGCCCTTTATCTTTTATTAATAATAATAATAATATAATGAGACTGATCGCAAACAAGACAGTAAAAGTGGTATGGGAAGTGGTGACAATATAAAAGAGGAGAAGAGGAAGACCGAGAAGAGACGTGGTATGATATGGCAAGGGGGAAAGAGATGAAGTAAACTGAAATATGAAGCAAAAAATAGAAGCAAGACCAACAGTAACTTCTACACCCACGGTCAATGCTATCAAGTCAAATGTCAATGATCTGGCAACCCGACTGAATTTAAAATAATAGTGGTGAAACCGTGTATGCTCTAAAGTATATGCCTACTTAGTCTTCGGAAATAATTACCCTGTTACAAAGCAAAAAGTAAAAAGAAATGAAGATGAACCATAAACTCTACACCCACGGTAAATGCTGTCAAATCAAATGTCAACTAACTGTCAACCCGACTGAATTTAAAATGATAGTGGTGAAACAATCCATGCTCTAAAGTATATTCCTATTTAGTCTTTGGCAATAATTACCAGGCCCGCCCAATTAAACTTTTATTGTACGCCCATTACGTATCGATAACTGCTCAGAAAAATAGTTACTGAAATACAAACAATTATTTAACAAAGTTTTAAGCAACTATAGCTACAAATAAGTTGAAAGTTAGTTAGTCCCAAAAATCGCCCATTCAGAAACTGCCCGACTTTGATTTATGCAGTCTTTCCATCACGGAAACCGTAGAGAAAAAAGCTTTTGCCATCTGTAACCAAACAATTTGATTTTCGCTTGTATGTTCATTCACGTGATATACTCACCTGGACCCCCATTTCGTAGTTAACGGAAATATTTTCGGAAAATTTTATTTTAATCGGTTTCGACAAAGATATCAGCAGCATCAAATACATTTTCTTGTTGAATTCGTCCCAGACGTACCACTCGACTTCAACTAAAGCGTTGAATATTTCAGTTTTCTACAAAATTGTTAAATTTCAAAAAATCAAATTTTGACGCCAGCCGGAGAAACGTTACAGTCGAATTAAAATGAAATAAATTAATCTGTTTTCAACGCAAAAAAGTGGCCAGTGTATTTTCTGTTCTTACATAATCTTCGATAGCTTGGCCAGCCCATGCAGTCCCCAATAGTGCAGTAAACGACATAATTGTGATGGAGCAGATACGAAAGTACTGATCCCTTAGCGAACCCTCAAACTAATTTGGTTTTCACTTAAAAAAAAAGAAACTGTGATTTTACCCAAAAATAAAAGACAACGATGCTCATCATGAGCGCAGAACCCATGATTTTCAGCGGCAAAATTATAAACTGCGTTCGTTTTGCTGCCTCCCAGGCACTACTGAGAATTTTCGCTTTTTCATCAGAAAGTGCACATTTTTGACGATACTTACTTCTCGCTGAATAAAAACGAATTTAGCAAAGTTTTCAGATTTCTGGTGATTTCCCTCTGGTTCGTTGCTTTTGTAGCATTAATTGTTTTTATTTGTTGCAGGCACCTCTGAACTTGAAGGTTGACAACTTGAAATGAGTACAATATGTTGAAGCAAGCTATAGTTGCGCTCACGTACGTTAAGGGAATAGCTAAACACCTGTAAAGAAATTTAAAAAAATTGCTCCATTTTGGCAGGTACATGTTTGCTAGTTTGAAAAGAAAGAAAAAATCATCGTCGTCTTTGGTTGGAATCATTAACGAAATTGCCACTAGTACGGAAGTCATCGTAGTCCAGACCACATAGATGAAGGAGTAGAAGGCACTTTTTTTTGCTCTTTTTGGAACGGATTTCATGATGGTTTGCGAAGTGTTTTGCTCCACACTTTCTGCTATCGATTCTACTGTCTCTGTTACCAAAGGTTGTGCTAATAGACAGGTTAGTACCTATAATCACAAAAATCACTTTGTAAATAAGCAAACTTTTGGATGTTTTACATATAGTCCAATGAAATATGACGGCCCATCCTGAACGAAATAATCGACTTCGAATCGAGCTAAAAATTGATAGGTTTGAACGACCACCAAAAAAATTGCACCTAGTTTGGACAAAAATAGCACTAACTGCAAACATTTTAAATGGTACACATCGATCACTAAAAACCGACAAATCTTCATGTAATCTTCGTCTATAAACACTGGGTTATTAAAATTTGCCCTTTAATTACGGAAATCTTACAATTCATCTTGTACCACAACAGCGACTGCTTTTAGTGTCAGAAGAAGACCCACACTGAACAGAAACACGTGGACGTTAAACCGTAACTAGGATAATATGGGTTTTTTCAATTCAAAAACTTTTTCCATCTAATATTAACCAGTGTAATGGCGGTTAAAGTGGAATCGATAGTTTTCTATACGTCTAAGCAATAAAACAAATACGATTAACAGAAAACGGTTTCTCATTACCCGTAAAACATCAAATATAAATCTGCATACTTACTATTTGAAAGTTGAACAAAGTTTACAAGAAAGTAACCACGAGGAAAACGGCAGAGTAATAATTTTAGTCGAAAGATTTTTTTTATTCTCTCTATTATTTCTTTGTCGATTTTTGCATTGCATTTTCTTGATATTCCCAGGTAGTTATAGCTTTTGACTGGTTCGATTTTTCGTCCATTCCGTTCTATTTTGTGACCTTGTTCTTTCGCCACATTATCATCGTTTTTATTTGTCTATAGGTACTTACATCTACATCTTCTCTAGTTCGTTTTGGTATTCGATTTGAGTTTGTTACAAATCTTGTGTGAATTTTGATTGTGCTCTAAACTACTTATTAGGTGGTTCTCTACACATAGATCTATACATCTTTCTCCGTTTTCGTTTTCTGTCTGTTCCCCGCATTTCCATTCAGCTCAACAAATGTAGACAGTTTTTCTGACTATAACTTTGTAGATCACATAGAACGTAATTGCAGTAGGTATATAACAGTAAACGATAATATTGATATACTCTCCAAAACGATGGAATTCAGCAATTAAAAAATTAATTAGTTAATTGATAAACCTGTATTATACATCTTTAATTTATTACTTAATACTTTATAGATCAATTAACAAGTATCGTCAAATAACCATTGTTTCCAATTTTTCTAAGATCTTTGAGATTGTTCTTTTTAATCGCATATAGTTCTCTATGAAACCTTAAATACACAGGGTGAGTGCGAAATATATGCAATAATTTCAACCACGGCATCCCCCACCCAAGTTAAGCCGAAATATAAAAAAAAAAACAAATTAAAATTCGAATGGGGCAAAACCCCCATGAACCACCCTCGATACGAAGGCACTGAGCCACTTTGCAAAGAGAGTTTCAGTTTCAATTAAAAGTAAAACCGACTATTTGCTGCTTATCATTCGTTCATTCATTTAGTCATTGATCGTTAAAGGTCAGTGCGAACATTTTTTGATAATCCTTCATGATGATCCAACTTTTGATTCTGACAGATGTATGACAACGATTTTACATTGTTTATTAAAAAAAAAATAGGAGCAACTTAGAAGGTTACTACCTTTTTATAAAAAATGTTGAAAATGTTGTCATTGACTAGCCATACAGGCGTCAGAGCGTCGCAAGATGTTTGGTGATAGGCTCTTCGATAATTTCTGGACACTGTTGATTTCCACAAACCAACTGTTTAATCCAACCGATACACATTTATCGAAAACCGTCTCTTGAAATCATACTTGTTGACGAGCATGTGGAGTTTCATCGAACAAAAAGTGAGTTACAAAACGTGGACAATCAGCGGGCTCCAAACCCTGTACTTTGTCAACATGGTATGGATGTGGCCGTGTTCTTTTAATGTAGGATGCACTACAAGCTGTGAAAATCCAACTTCTTCTTTCTGTCCTATCACAGCCACGATCGTGAGTTTGAAGTTTAAGGTACCATGATCTCGGAGACGCTGTACCAATGATGCAAATGTTCGCGCACACCAATTACCATATCGACACACTCTGCATGGGAAAACTGCACCATAAAGCGCTTTCACCGACTGTTCGATGATGACTGGCCCTTTTCGTGTTTTTCACGTTGCGATTAAAAAAGTGCCTGATAAAGTCTTGGTTCTTAATCCGAGTCGCTCTGTTTCAATAATTTTTTCTAGACACTGCTACCACTTAGGACTGTGAATTTTACCCAGTGACATAATCATATTGTGAGCTATTCCTCGTTTTTTTTGCATGTATTTCGCAATCACCTTGTATAAAGATCGTAAACGGATAATATTGTGCATGCTTTACTTCATACGTATTTTGCATCGAGCATGTAATAATAATAATAAAAATGTCACATAAATATTAATTTCTTTTCAAACGTCATATAACTGACACTTATATGACGCTCTTACAGGGGTTTAAGTGTCATTTCTATGACACCGTGTTTGAGCGGCGTATAAGTACTACTTATAACTCCGCCGGCGTATAAATAAAACATTTATACTCCGCCGGAGTATAAATATGTGAAAATCATAGTGGTTGTCAACCATAGTAACCATGGTAAGTGAAATCAAGGCAATTCCTTAATGAAGCAAGAAGATAGGAAATAATCATTTCAAACGAAGATTAATCGTTTGAAATAGCTATTAAGACAACTAGTGTTTTATAGACAGTTTAAAAATCAAGATCGTTGTTAAAATCCGAGGGACCGAAGGGGGCGAGAATTTTATACAGCGAGATTTTTAAACTATAAAACACGTGTTGGCTTCAAGATTTTTTCAAACACTAACAGTAATTCATCAACTCCTTTTTGATCAATTCATTACTACAAATTTTGACAAATCATTTGTGAAGCTTCATAGTATCATAGTAAGATTGCTGTGTATTGTAACTATGACAAGTAAACAAATTTTGAAAAAAACAATTTTCATCGTCAAAATGTGCGAAAACGTTCCGGAAGAAATTGCGAAAAGGGGAAAATAATTGCGAAGCAATTTGTTACCCTTAAAGTCAAAAAATGCATACGAGAAAGTATGTTTCGTTCCAAGACTGGAAAAATAAAAACCGCATCAAGAAAGTAACCGAAGATGTTATCTTACATTTTTTGGACATGAGAGTGAGTACATATTTAGTAAAATTCATAAAACTAAATTATTTAACAATTACAGTCGCAAAAGTTGTCACTAGAGAGCGGATTTTATGAAATTTGCATATCCATTATTTTTTGCATATAAGTCTTGATATTTAATATGTGAACGAATCATGCTAATTAAAAATGAATACAGCTATAAAAAAATTGCATATTTGCATATATTTGCCTTCTGCTGCATATTTCACGGAACGGGTGCATATTTTGCATTTTTATCAATTTTGGTGCTAATTTGAAAAAAAAATTATTGTCATTCTATCGGCATTTATCTAGAAAGACGAAATTTTATGAATCATATTGCAATATTGTCCTGAGCTTCAAATAACTAGAAAAGGTTTGGGTTTTATGGTAGTTTGGAGACACCACTGGGTGTTAAGCCATCCTTCCAGGTAAATTCGCGCCCTAATTACTTTTGGAAATACCCTTCATGTTGTGATCGAACGGGACGTTATACTGTTATTATTTTTCATCGTGAGTTTATATTGAAAGCATTTAAAGGGATACAAGTGTATCAATATGTCGAAGATAACTCAAATTAATTTATGGATTAAACCTTTTCCTGAACTTACTCTTCAACAACGAACTGTACTTTGTCGCGCCTGCCCTAAACCGGTAAGTATTTTTACATCTGTGGACGTAGTACGCAGTTTTTCTATTTACAAATACATTTACTTTAGAATCACCGGAAAAACTTTTTGTTAGAATATTTCGAAACATATCTAAAAATAAATTGTTACCAAAATAGTAATTAAATAGTGGATTACTATTATTTTTTAATTTGATCTGTTTATATTTATTTTTTAGTATAAGAATATTATCTTTAAAAACGTGATTTATGTGTTGGTGAGATGTAATTAAACACTTTGCAATGTGATTTATGTATTTTTTGTAATAAAATGTACGCTCGGGAAACCTGTTTTTGAATTTTATAAATAAATTTAGTTCGCTTATTAAGCTTTTTTTTTTAATTTTTGGAGCATATGCAACTGCATATCTCTGCATATATTAAGAAAGTTACTGCATATTTGCATAAATTTGGTGCATATCATATGATCATATTTCTCAAAATTTTGCTGCATATTTTCCGCTCTCTAGTTGTCACCTTGTTCTTTATGGCCAGAATATTCAATGTTAAAGGCCACTCTAAAGGTAAAAGAAAACATAGATATTGAAAAATTTGGTGCTGTTGTTTCGTATATAAAAAAATTAAATGTTGGTTATCGTGGCAAAAAATCCAACGTTCTGACACAAGAAGAAATCAAAACTTTCTTGCAAGAAGCTGATGACGGAGAATATTTATTCGAGAAGGTAAGAATTACTTATTAAGAAGTATTTTTTATACATATGAAATCGTGTAGGCTGCTTTAATCTTTGGAATTGTCGGAGCTTGCAGAAAGGCCGAATTGTGCGCTATGAGATTTGACGATATACAAGATTGTGGTAATGTTCTGAATATTGTTATACCTGACAGTAAAACCCACAAAGAAAGAAGATTCAGTGTAGTTAATGAAGGCTTTGGTGTTAAATACCATTGATTTGTATCGACGTTATGTTGCTTTACGACCCACAAATTCACCATTGAGGTTTTTTTTACACTATTATAAAGGTAAATGTACTCGCCAAAATGTAGTAATTAACACCTTTGGAAAAATTCCCAGAAAAATTGCAACTTTCCTCAAACTGGAAAATCCAGCTAAATACACAGGTCATTCTTTTCGCCGCAGTTCGGCAACTCTCCTGGTTAACGCAGGTATTGTAATGATTACCTTTATTCTTCAAAGTAACTTTATATTCATTGCAGCCGGAGACATTACTTCGTTGAAGAGGCATGGCGGGTGGGAATCGACCAAGGTGGCAGAATCTTACATATAAGAATCTTTTGGAGAAAGAGTGAAAATTGCTCAAAAAGTTTTTGGAGATGAAAAGCTGGCACCGAATGAACTAGTTGACAATGAAATCGTTATGGACAAGCCCACGAACCTAAGTTACAGTGAAGCGTGTGGCAGTTCCAGTTCTAGCTCTAGTACTAGCAAGAACACCGCTCAAAATGTTTATTTTTAATTGTACTTTTAACTTAGGTAATAATTATTGTAAAGATTCGAAATAAAAAACTTGAAATATGAGAAATCGTATTTTAAGAACCTATAAGATACGTTGCCATTGACAGCGTACTTTAAGAGAACAACGTTATTTTAAATCAAAGTTAACATACGAGTTCTTATGAACCATACAAACAGTATAAGATGTTAGTGTTTGAAAAATAAAATATTGTATTTCATTCGGAGTTTAAGCGACTTCATGTGACTCGTATGGACTTAATTCGCCTCGCTATCGCTCGGCGTTTAATCGTCCATACTCGACACATAAAGTATCACTTAAACTCCTAATAAAATAAATATCTATTATATGACGTTTGAAAATAAATCTCTTTATTTATATAATACTAGCAGTTACCCGCAGCTCCGCTTGCGTGGATTTCGCAATTAGGACATATTATTTTTCATCCCCTGATTTATTTTTTTATTTCAATTTTATTACTTTTTAAGTTTGTGCAGTCTTCATTAATAACAATATATAAAAGTGTTTATCATCGGGCTGACTGACCCATCAACGTACCTACTGGAGCTAGAAACACGAAATTTGGACAGAAAGTTCCTTCGTAATGTAAACAACCATTACCCCTAGGTGGGTGAAATAAGGACTGAAAGTTTGGAGTTAACAGTTCCGTGAATTTTTAAATACGAGGGGCAACGCTATTTTATAACACAGGAGTATAATACAGTGCGTGGCCATATGGATTTCCATGTTAAATTTTATACCCCATGTTAACTTATGTTTGAGTAAAGATTCAGAGCTGAAATTTTTATTGGATGTAATTTGGGTTATCTTTTGTCGATTTTATTAAAAGTCATGTTTTAAATTAAAGGATATTTCTTTGAAAAAGTTAAAATATTTGGATATTTTTGTGGCTAATGGCTGTAGGCAGCCATGTAAAAACAAACGTTTACCTGACCTATCTAACTTGGTTGTAAATTTGATATTATTCTGTATTTAATAAACTTTCGTTGTGCCTATAAAAGTATGTCATAGCTAATCTCTCTGAGATAGTCTCTGTTTTGTATGACTTCTTTACGTCTTACAGGCTGAGGTAAACCATAGTACTCTAAACATTGTCTTCCTAAAGACAGCACCGTGGATGGAAATCAGACACTTGTTGTACACTTCATTTATAATCTGAACACTCTCTTGACACTCTGACTGAACTTGACAAACCCAAAGCTTTACATGATGAGTGGTATATGGAATAAACGACACTATCAATAGTTTTTAAATCCGAGAATTATGTTAGCCCTCTCATTGCATGAAGAAGAGGATCAAGGTAGAAACAATCCGCGTTATTAGGGTGAACGGTGTACACTGTACCCAAAGCTTGATCTCTTTTGACTCCCGGCCCACCATCAACATTGTTTTCACATTTTCATGTCTCAAATTTGGTACTTTTCCATAGTATGAAGGTACTTCAACATAAAGAAGGATTTTTGCAGAATTATCCGTTTTGCAAAGCTCAAAAAATGATAGAGGAGTAGTTTTCTGTGAATTATTTAACTTTTCAGTTACATTATTAAAGTCGTTAGGATTAAAATAGACAGCAGGCCATTTTCCAAGTGCATGCGAGATGAAAAACCGCTGGTAATTGTTCATGTACAGGAAAGGCCAGGTTTCTCCAGTTGCTAATATATCGACCACTTTCATATAATTTGACTTCATCATTGTCATTTTCAAGACCAAATAATCCTGGTTGGATCCTTTATTACCATATTTGCATATATATTTATAAGATTTTACAGAGTTACAATACTCTATGTTGATGTGAGCAGCAAAAGTTCAAGACGAAAGTGGATTGTACGATACCACCCAACTGTTATCTAGGGTTACACCATGGAATTCAATCGTGAATCCACCATCCGCGGGACCTCTTCGCCGGTATTGAGGGTAGCTGTCATCGCCTGTTTGGGTTTCTTTCAGGAGAATTCAAGGAAATTTTTTGCTACAGCTGCCTCCTTTCATACACGGGAACACAAAATTAGAATACTTGGGGAGAAATACTCTGACAATTCGTGACATAAAACCGACCGCAGACCGCGTTCGCGTCGCAGTCGCTTACCCGGTGACGTTGCGCCCTCCCTATTTCCATACAACTTCTTAAATTTCGAAGGCTATCGACTGATTTTTCCAATAATCCTACTACGTCTAATACGCGAAAAAGATATTTAACTACTTATTTTAAACTTTGATTCTTAACCACGTTTGGATTAATATTTAACTTCTCCTGTTTCTCACATTTCCACCCAAATTATATTCCGTTGGGGATGAATATCAAAAAAAATTTAAAATCAGTCAAGACAATTTTACATGATTACCAAATTTCAAGTAACAAATGTGTTGGAGGGTATTAATACAACATTTCAAGTAAAAATCACCAA